TCATGATGTCATGTATTCGTGTATGGATATGTATGTTTCATTACTGTCTACAAGAATGGCAGAGCTCTTCAATTTTTAGAGACTTCAGATCTTTTCTTCATTTGTGCTTGCTGAAGCACAAATTGTCTTTCTCCAACCACTATAGTAAAAGTTGATGGTATTTTCTCAAAGAGAAATGAATATTGATGGAGCTATGGTTTGGCTTCATTGAATTTTAAATTTCCAAGGTTACTCTTGGAAAGAGAATTTTTTGTCTTAACTAGTTGTCAACCACTTAAAATCTTATTGTAAGTTATATAATGTGTGATAAAATTTAATTATCTTATAAATGTGATAAACTGTTGTCCTTCTTCAGTTTGTGGACTAAGTTCATGGTTGTCCCAGATGTACTTTTTCAAAAGACAATTGGACTTCCTTTGTTTGTGCTTAAAGACATTTTGCTTCTCATCCAAGAAGCCTCTGCAGTTCTGAACTTATAGTTGGATGAGAGACGAAACATCTTCAAACAAAAACAAAGAAAGTCCAGTTGTCTTTTGAAAAAGCACTTTTGGAACACCTGGATCAGAGCCAAATTTTAGAGGAGTAACATAAAGATATAAGTAGTCCTCATATAGCAACAGCAATTGGTTTCAGTGACTGGGTCATTAAGTGAAGTCATCACTAAAATGAAAATCAGGTGACTGTGCTTACAATTTTATTTCAGCTTTGCTTTGCTTTGCAGTGTCAGAATGATACAACCGCAAAGAACTGGGTAAGCCCAAATGGCAAGAAAGTTTCTGAAATTCAACCCACAAGGAAGTTGAATAAAAGGGCAATCTTATAGCGTTTCCCACGCACACACACACACTAGTGGGAATGTTCAGTCCAGAGCCAGGATAATTAGCAAGAAGAAAATTGTTATCTGAATGTATATTCATTTTAGCAGAAGAGATTACAAGCGAGTAAGCAGACAAAGAATGGGGAATTCAGATTGAAAGAAGTGTGCCAGTGCCAGTTGTTTCCTGCCTAGGAACAAGCAAAAGCCATCAGCATAAAACTGATTAGAGTATTACCATTTTCAGGTAGCAGTGCCACCGGGCCAGAGGGATCTAATCAGCTAATGAAGGTTAAGCTTGTTAACTCACAGCATTTTTTAGGGATGCACTGCATTGCATATAAAAGCAATTCAGGAAGAGATAGCTTGTTTAAGCAACCTCTTTGCTCTGGGGGATAAGGAGAAAACAGATGAGGCACAGGACAATGCAATACAAGTAGTTGTTGTTTACCAACTGCCTCATTTAACAAGTATTTGTTGTTTACCAACTGCCTCATTTAACAATCATTCCAAGTTACAACAGAATAATAATAATAAAAAGCTTTTCAGCCCTTGCACTTAGGATTATCACAGTATCCCCTAATCATGATTGCCATTCAGACCTTTCACAACCAATGTGCATTTATGACTACTGCAGTGTCCCACGGTGAAGTGATTACCATTTGTGTGCTTCATAACTGATGTGAAGAAGCAGTGATAAGCAAGCTTGTTAGAGAAGGTGGAGTTAGAACCGTAAGTCGTAGTACTGTGGTGTTTCACTTACTGACTGTGGTGTTTCTCTTAACAACTGAAAGGGAAGTGAGATCATATGCCATTACAGTCCATGATGTTTTGCTTAATGACCATAGTACTTAGTGACAGTCCCAATTGTGGTTGCTAAGGAAGGATTGCTATGAATACGTGACACACACACTATACAACATTCGTAAATTATACATTCATCACCATTGTAATTGAAATGATCATTGTTTGAAACCTGTAGTTGGTTCAATTTATCTGGAAGGCAATATATTAGGGAAGGCTGGTATGAACATTTAAAATATTTTAAGATGAGCTGCCCTAAAGTTATCTGCAGTGAAATATTTATACCTACAAATACCTTAAATGAATGAATTTGGGGGGGGAAATATGAATGAAATTAATTGTTTTCAGACTTTGCTTTGTATACCCTCTAGCCAAAGAAGTCTGTTATGAAACAATTGGCTGCTTTTCTGATAAACCCCCATGGTCAGGAATACCTGGGAGACAGCTGTTTGGCTTACCAGCATCTCCAGAAAAGATGAATATCTCTTTCTCACTTTTCACAAAAGAAACTGGAAATCTCTCACAAGTATGATTATTATTATTAATATGATTATAATTTAGTTACTTTGCAAATATCTATTTTTCCCCTTTCATATAATCCAGTAACAGGTGGATTTATTTTTTAGACTCTGGATAATTAGATGTATAAAAATGCAGACTGAATAAAGAATTTTAAAATGCTAGTTGTAGATCAATGCAATTAAAGTTATTAGGACAGACATTGTCTGAGTTAATATTATTCAATGCACTGTTACCTAAAATATCAAAATTGGCTAAAAATATTTGCAACTGAGAATAAGAAAAAAGCTAACTTTTTAATAGATTGCCTGCAAGATCTGACCACATGACCTGATGACTGAGGCAAATCAGTGTTTTTTGTTGTTTTCTTGAATTCTGGATAACAGCAATAGAGTGATAGACTTGTTCCATGTGTTAGTCAGAGAAACTGTGAAGTTGATTGGTAAGTTGTCAATGGAAGAAGTCAGAAACATCTCTTTCTAATAGAGTCTATAGTTCAAGATACAGTTCATGTAGCTAAAAGATATATAGTATGTTGCTTCAGACTTTAAGACACAGCTTTTAGCAATGCCTAGACTTGGGAATGAATGGGCAAAACTATTGAGCCACTCATATATATTTATTTCTCATTAAAAATATGGAAGCTAGTTAATTTCGGCTTATGAAATATTAGAACCAAAAAAATATGTTACGTTCTTTGGTTTGAAAATGTTCGACCTTTGAAAGAATTTGTTATATCATTATCTTTAAATTCCCCTGCAGAAAATATTGTACAATGAAATATCAAGTCTCCAAAATTATAGCTTCTCCCCATTGAGGAAAACCCGCTTTGTTATCCATGGATATACAAGCACTGGAAAATATGGCTGGGTTGTGGAGCTGTGTTTGGTATGAGATTTCCTTATTCTGGGGGGGAAAGCAGGCAAAATTTTAATATGCGTCTTTTGCTTAACAAATATATGGTTTAAGTCATGGGGTGGCAAACCAGAGTCCTTCAGGGGACTGCTGTTATTCCAAACAACCCTCCAATGTTTTCATTGGTTGCTGTAAAATAACCATATTTATTTATAGTAATGCCCTTGGATCATTTGCTGGGTTTTATTGTTTTTCTTCCCTTTATGCAACTGGAGTGTTTTTATTTTCATGAGTCATAAGTTTTCAGTAGGCATATCTTACAGATCAGTTGTTGCCTACTCATAAAGCACTATGATGTTTATTATATGTGCTGATTTGCAGGAAATTGGTAGATGAGCCAGGACTGTGTGACTCGGGGCTGAATTACAAATCACTGTGGAACTTAAGAACTCAGTGACCAGGTATTTTTTTTAAAGATCTATTTTGTTGACATTAATCATCCAAATATATATTTTTTATATATCTCTTTGGTGCTATAGCTTCTGGTGGATGTGGAAGACATTAACTGTTTTGTTGTTGACTGGGAAGATGGAGCTAAATGCACCTATTTCATTGCTGGCAGCAATATCCGTGTTCTTGGAGCAGTGATAGCTAAATTTATCATTACTATGATGGTGAGATTTTAAGTTAAATATATTACAAAACATCAAAGGCAGAAATGACATACTATCAATCTATTTACCAATGTATCTGAATCAATTGTACAAAATAACTTAAAGTCATTTTATATATTAAAATAGGAATGTTTAGATCAAGCTCTAAGCCACGAGTCCCCAGCCTTGGCAAATTTAAGATTTGTGGACTTCAACTCCCAGAATTCCACAAGTCCACAAGTCTCAAAATTGCCATGGTTGAATAGCACAATGCATCTTTTCAGATGTTCAAATCTAGAATAAAACGAATGCTAATTTTTAAATGTTTCCCCACATTTATGTAGTGCAATTTTCTGCACTAATACCCTTCTTAAACATTTTGGAAATATTTAAGCACTAAAACTTCTCAAGAATATTTATAAAAAAAAAATAAGCCAACAATATCAGTACTCCAAACCAAAGTCTAGTTCTAGCTGAAATTAGAAGCAAACCAATCAGCTACATCCTGGAACGAATATGTAGCTTATTCAATTGGTTTGAGGGCTTTTAAAAAGTCATTTTTGATACACCAGATTTAACTATGATTGAAAAGAAAAAAAAGTGGGTCAAAGTCTGGTTTGTGTATACTTTGAAGCTGAGTAGCTATAGAGAATTGTGATCAATGTAATCAACATCATTATGGTCCTAAAAATAGGTCACTATTATTACAATACATAAAAAATGCTGCTTCATCTGCAAATTGTAAGAATGCTATTTTAATTGCTAATCATTCTCCCCTTTTTGAATTATTAGAAAATCTATCGGTATCGTCCTTCCAACGTCCACCTCATTGGCCATAGTCTTGGTGCTCATACTGCTGGAGAGGCAGGAAGACGACTTCAATATGTTCGCAAAAAATCTCCTGCCATTGGAAGAATAAGTGGTATGCTACCAGAGTTATCACACATTGCAATCTTGATTGAAAGACAGGAAACCTTGAAGCAGAAGTCAATCAATCTGTGGAACTAAATCAGGTTAAAGGTAAAATAAGGATTCTGATGAGTCTCAGACTTCCTGTGACATGTGTAAAGTTTGGAGAATAATGGAGACCAGACATCTGACCAGTGACTTCAACTCTTTAATAACAGTAGATAGAACAGAACAGAGCAAGGCTATGGGCAGCAGTAACCCTTTTATAGGGTTGGCTGCTACCTTATTAACCAATAATATGTGCAACAAGTTCAACTAATACCCAATAAGAAGTGTCCTAATATGGGCCAATCAGGAACTTGCTATGGACCAATCCTTGTTCGTTGTTTAAGGACCAATCAGGTGTGCAGGCTTTCAAAACCCACTTTGCATTTGGGCTTAGTTCTTTTATTGATTCACAACACCCCTCCCCCTTGGGCTCCGTTTGAGGGGAGCTGTAACAAAATCCTCGAGATAGACAGGCCGTTTGGTCTGTCTGGATGATTTCCGTGGTTCCACCGGGTTTGGCCTAAAGTCCGGTTCCGGTGGAGCATTTGGATGATCTCTGTTAAGCTCCGTTTCGCTGCACGGAAATTCCGTGTTGCTTTCGTTGTGGTTGTCCCCACCAATCAGTGTTTCTTCGGGGGTTCGCAGTTCGGTTTCCCCCGTGTTCACGTTCCATGGGAAATTCAACTCCCTCCCTGCTTCGGTTCCCGGTACTTCGCTGGGCCGTAGGGTTTCCGTTGGCCTGCTATCTGTCATATCGAAGTCAATTTCCTCGATATTTCCTCCCCCCTCAGTTGGCAAACCCGGGGAGCCATGGGCGCTGGGTGGTAATCTCGAACGGAGTTGGTCTATGTGGCGTTTCCACACCCTCCCATCGTCTGTTAGCAGGCGGTAAGATCTAGGCCCTGTGAGGTGGGTGACGGTTGCGGGTATCCATAAAGGGTTGCCGGAGAAGTTTTTTGCAAAGATTAAATCACCTACCTTAAATTCCCAGCATTTGCTGCTGGAGCCGAAAGGCTTTTCGGGTGCGTATGTGGGGTGGAGCCGGTCAAGGTGCGATCGTAGTTTCCCCCCCATGAGAAGTTCAGCGGGCGTTTTGTTGGTAACGCTGTGGGGCGTGATGTGCTGCAACAATAAAATTCGATTGATTTTTTCATTGATGGCGCCGAATTCCATTTTGTGGAGGGTCTTTTTTACAAACTGTACCATGCCCTCTGCACGTCCGTTCGCCGCAGGGTGCGCGGGCGAGGTTAGCGCATGGCGGATGCCCCGGTCAGCAAGATATTGTTCAAATGGTAATGCTGTGAACTGTGGGCCATTATCCGAGACGAGAACGTCCGGAAAACCATGTGTGGCAAATAACCTGTTTAATTTGTTGATAACTGAGTCCGTTGTAGTTGTGTTCATTCGATGGATCTCGAGCCAATTTGAATAGGCGTCGACTGTAATAAGGAAAGTGTGCCCTTTTGTAGGCCCCGCAAAGTCAATATGAATACGGGACCATGGTCCCCTCGGAGTTTCCCATTCGGTTGGGCTTGCTTTAGGTGGGGCGTTGCTGACGTCCTGGCAACGTTGACAAGTAGCGATCCAGGCCTTGATTCTTTTGTCGATTCCCGGCCACCAGGCGTAGCTCCGTGCGAGTGCTTTCATCCGCACGATGCCCGGATGTCCGTCGTGCAATACCGCTAAAACAGTTCGTTGCAGTTTGCCCGGGATTACGACTCTATCGCCCCACAAGATGCAGCCCTTTTGGGAAAACAGTTCGGTTTGGCGGGCTTTGAAAGGCGCCCATTCAGGTGATAGTTGTTCTGTTGGCCAACCACGTTCAACCCAGCGTAGGATGTGTTGCAGGACCGGATCTCGTTTTGTTTCGAGGGCAATGTCTCTCGCCGTCAATGGCGGCGCGTGTAGAGTCTCAATTTGTAGCGTTGTGATGGTTGGGGCTGGATCTTCAACCGATTCTGGGAGCGGTGTTCTGCTCAATGCATCAGCGTGGAGAATTGATTTCCCCGGGCGGTGTTGCAAGGTGTAGTTGTACACCGCCAAGAATTCAGACCAGCGGGTCATTCTGGGGGACAATATATACGGGGTTGGTTTATTACCCGCAATAATCCCCAGTAGTGGTTTATGATCAGTAATTATTGTAAACGCACACCCATACACATATTCATGAAATCGTTTAACTGCAGCCACAATAGCTAAAGCTTCTTTATCCAGCTGACTATAATTTCTTTCAGCTTTAGCTAAGGTTCGCGAAAAAAAACGCGACGGGAGCTTCTGCTCCGTTCGGTAAGACGTGGGCCAGGATTGCTCCAACCCCAAAAGGTGAGGCGTCACAAGTAATAGTTAACGGCAGAGTTTCGTTGTACTGCATAAGTACAGAATCAGAAGTTAGCAATTTCTTTACTTGTTGGAAAGCGTATTGTTCACGTTGTCCCCAAACCCACGTTGCTTTTTTGTCTAAGAGTCTATGTAATGGTTCAGCTACCGTTGCTTTATTGGGTAAAAAGACGTTATAAAAATTGATAAGTCCAAGGAACGCCTGTAGATCTGCCTTGTTCCTTGGAGTGGGGGCCTTCTTAATTGCCTTTAATTTGTCCTCAGTGGGATGGATTCCTTGACTGTCCAGGAGGTATCCCAAAAACTCTACCCTTTCGGTACATAACTGGCATTTATTTTTTTTGACTTTGAGGCCGGCGTTTTGGAACCTTTGTAAGACTATTCGGAGTCATTTTTCTAGAATGTCTCTGTTAGGGGCGGCGATGAGTACATCATCGAAATATGGTACGACCCCTCTTATTCCTTGTAACAGCCTTTTCATTAAACTCTGAAAGATTCCTGGAGCGACGCTCACCCCAAACTGGATCCGGTTGCATTTAAATGCGCCCCTATGCATGACGATAGTTTGCGCCTCCGCGGTGGCCGGATCTACAGGCAATTGTTGATACGCCTGCGCTAGGTCTAATTTAGCGAAAACTTTCCCGCCGCCCAGGGAATGGAGCAGGTGTTGCACTACCGGCACTGGATATGCACTTTGCTGAAGTGCGTGGTTTAGGGTGGCCCGGTAGTCTCCGCAAATTCTCAGTGACCCATCAGGTTTGATAGGCGTCACTATTGGGGTTTCCCACCGGGCGTGGTCGGTGGGTTCCAGCATGCCCTGTGCTATTAGTTTATCGAGTTGTTCGTCGATTTTAGGTTTTAGGGCGAACGGCACCCGACGCGGCTTAAGGAGGATGGGTGCTACCTCAGGGTTCAGGTTAAATGAGATCGGGGTCCCCTTGTACTTGCCTAGTCCGTTCGCGAAAACGTCTTGGAATTCTTGCACGAGGGCTTCTTCCCAATCATTGCTCTCGGCACGGTGGACTCTGGCTACAGTGATTCCGAGCGGTCTGAACCATTGCAGGCCTAAAAGACTAGGCCGGTCATGGTCAACGACAGTCAGTGGCAGTGCGACGGTGCGGTCCTTGAAAGAGACTTGGAATCGGCGGGACCCGACAACGGGAATTCGGTTACCCTGGTAATCTTTGAGTATAACCCTTTGAGGGTTGAGGTCTTGGCGGCGAATCGTCGGAACGAGCTGTTGGAGCGTCTTCCAGGACACCATCGAGAGGGATGATCCTGAGTCCACCTCCATTACACAAGGTTTGTTTTCGATAGCGACCTTCACTCTGATTTTCCCGGCATCTAGGGATGTAGCGTGGCCTATGGTAATCGTCTGGTGGGTCTCTTCCCGCCTGGTTTCTTCCCGCCTGGTGGAAGTGGTGGACGGTTTGTTTCTGTAGGAGTGGCTTCCCCATTGGTGATTCAGTTTGTCTCGGGGTGTGCCGTTTAACCCTGAAGACTGGCATTCGGCCTGTCGGGGTTTGGAGTTGGAGTTTTGTTTGCTTCTGCAAACCTTTGCGATGTGACCTCTTTTCCCGCAAACGCGGCAGAGTGCGTCGAGGAATTTGCAGCTGGATCGTGGGTGATTCACTCCACATCCTGCACAAGGTCGAAGTGAGCGTTGTGTGAACTGGTCTCGTTCAGTTCGGAGTCGGTTGACCTCTTCCTCATCACTATCTGACGGGGACTCTAGGTCTTCGTGGTGAGTCGATACCGGTTGTCTCTCTGAGCGAGGCGAGGTATCATTGGCGAGTTGACGTAGCGGTGCGCTGGTGAGGCGCATTCGGGCTGCCGACTTCTTAGTTGCTTCTGCTGCAGTGGCTTCTTTAAGGGCATCGGTGAGGCTGATGTCCCCCTTAGCCGTGATTTTGCTCTGGATCGTGCAGTCTTCTAGGCCCAAAACTAGGCGGTCTCGGAGGGCTTCTTCTAAGTTAGAGAATCCGCAGAGGCCTCCAAGGTTTCGGAGGTCTGCGATGTAGTTGGCAAGGCTTTCGCCTTTCTGCTGGACCCTCTGGTAAAATTCATGCCTTCTGACTAAGGTTGGCACGGTGGGCGCGTAGTGGGCCCGTAGCAAAGGCTCGAGGACGTCCCAGTCCATCGCTTTTACTTCGGCTGGCTTGGCAAGTGATTTTGCCATTTTAAACACGGTAGGCCCGCAGTGGGTTAGAAATACAGCTCTTTTTTTGCTGGCTGTTGCATCTTTCAAGTTGTTGGTCTCCAGAAACATCTGGAACCTATCCATGTACGACTCCCAGTCTTCGGTTTCTGGGTCGAATGGAGCGGGTGGTACGGCACCGCTGGCCATGTTGCCGTTGATAGTGCGTGTTCGACCACGTGCTCTGTTGGTTGCTCTGTAGATCAGTCAGCTCTTCGGTCTCCGCATCCCATCCTCGTCGCCAGTGTAAAGTTTGGAGAATAATGGAGACCAGACATCTGACCAGTGACTTCAACTCTTTAATAACAGTAGATAGAACAGAACAGAGCAAGGCTATGGGCAGCAGTAACCCTTTTATAGGGTTGGCTGCTACCTTATTAACCAATAATATGTGCAACAAGTTCAACTAATACCCAATAAGAAGTGTCCTAATATGGGCCAATCAGGAACTTGCTATGGACCAATCCTTGTTCGTTGTTTAAGGACCAATCAGGTGTGCAGGCTTTCAAAACCCGCTTTGCATTTGGGCTTAGTTCTTTTATTGATTCACAACAACATGCATTAAGCATCCTGCTTAAGAAATGCTGCTAATGTTTTCATAATCATATTTTCCATTATCCATTTTTTATATGTTTATAATGTGCCTTTTGAAATTGGGCATGTTGGTTGCAATTAATGCTGTCATGTGTGTGTTTGCACACACACATATACATATGCATACATATATATATATATATAATACAGATACATATACAACAGCATTAATCGCTGTTGTGGTTTGCCAGTGGCCTATGCAGATGGCAGCAGAATTGGACAGTGGGGAAGAACGGGAACCAGTCCAGAAGTCTGGCGAGGATTTGGATGAGGGTCCTGCATCAGATGCAGAGATGGAGGCAGGACCATCTGGAAGTGGTGTGCTGACTCCAGAGCCTCCAGAATCTGGCAGCAGCGAGGCAGAGGAACAAGGGGAGCCTGTTCCCAGTGCGCGTATGTGCAGAGCTGCTAGAAGGCAAGTGTAACTGAGACATAAGGGGTGACTCAGGAGTAAGGCTTGAAGGTGATTGTCCCTCCCATAAGGTATAAAAGACATGCAAAGGTAAAGAAACCTTTATAGGAAGCAAAGTCATTCGTTCTGTTCAGATTAATCCTTAGAGCTCTGTGTGGACTTTGTACTTCAGTTGGTTTTTTATAGTTCATTTGGCACTTTAGTTGTTGGCAGCAATTCAAAGGAGAGAAAGGTGGGTGCTTATCTCGAGGGGACTGTTTGGGACTCATTACAGGCTGGGAATGAACATAATTCCCAGCATTTAAATAAAACAAGGGTTGTTTTAACTAAGTGTGTGCTTAATTATGGTCTCAGGAAGCCATGGTCAGAACAATTGCAGCCAACATGCCCAATTTCGAAAGATAGCATGTAAGAGCCATGGTGGTGTAGTGATTAGAATGAAGCACTGCAGGCTAATTCTGCTGACTGCCAGCAGTTTGATTCTTACCGGCTCAAGGTTGACTCAGCCTTCCATCATTCCAAGGTCAGTAAAATGAAGACTCAGATTGTTGGGGGTCAATATTCTGACTCTATAACTGTAGGGGTAATGATCTGTTAGGTAGCTGCATTTTCTTTTTATCTATGTATTTTGGATATGTTTTATAATTTGATATAATCAATTGACTTAATAAAGTTCTTCTATTTTATCTTATACAATTTTATCATATTCTTTCATTTTAGCTTACCTACTATATTTTATTCTATTTTATCTCATGATAGCTTCACTGTATAATCTCACTTCACTGTACCTTATCTCATTTTATTTTATTTTACTGTGGCTTGTGCTCACATTTAATAGGGTCAATTGACTAAACAATAAAGTATAGCATATTTAATAAATAAATAAATTGTAGTCAACCTGATCTACCAATACTGTGTCACTGCAGCTATGATTTTAAAGTTCAGTAATATAGTTCTATGTACTTTATTTTAACTGAAGCAAATCCTATGGAAATGTTGATAGATTTAACATTGCCATATGAAAAATGTCAAGTGTTTTGATGATTGCACATCTTGTTTCTTATGCTAAATGGAATTAATCAAAATGCATTGCAATATAATGGACTTCTGTTATGTATTTTTATAGATTATCAGTCTATGGCAGGACTGTTGATGTGCATTTTGAATCCAAGAAGAATATGCATGCATGTCTGCATATATATTCCAATTCATTGTGGTGTTATTATTATTTTTTCTCGATTTAGGTTTAGACCCAGCAGCAATTGGTTTTGAAGGATTCTCTAAGATGGTCCGGCTTGATCCTTCTGATGCTGGATTTGTGGATGTCATACACAGCAACGGTGCCCGATTTCCTTTAGGTAAATGCAGGGATGGGATTCAAAAATCCCAGCAATTGGTTTGCTGCCTGGTTGCTGGGTAGGCATGGCCATGGTAAGCATGGCCTACTGGAACTTCCAGGAGGGACCTTTTTCACCCTTCCAAGAGTCTGGAGGCTTCCCTGGGCCTCTGGGAGGGTGAAAACGACCCTCCCCAGGTCCTGGAGGCCCTCCGGAAGCTGGAAACAGGCCCATTTCCGGACTTCTGAAAGGCCCGTTTTTGCCCTCCCAGAGCCTCTGCATGCACTTACCTTAATCAAAAATAAGCCATGTGAAGACTCCTGGGAGGAGTGGGGTGGGGTGGGCAGGGCCAACTGGTCAGTTGAAATACTGGTTCGGTGAACCAGATGAAAATTTAACATCCGGTTCTGCTGAACCAGTCCGAACCGGTAGAATCCCACCCCTGGGTAAATTGGCAGATACAACTAAATTTTGTGATAGAAGCAATTACAGTGATTAATCATGTAACATATTTTGATTTATCACAGGACTTGGGATGTTTAATGCCACTGGTGATATGGACTTTTATCCCAATGGTGGAAAGTTTATGGTTGGATGCAATGATGCAAAACAGGAACAGGAACAGGAACAGGGAGGTAACCCTATCCTCATTTTCCTAAAGTTAACCCTCATCTTCAGCATTTACATTCATAAGCATTATACTGCCAATAAAACTCTAATCCAGACTGAGTCTTTTCGGATAGGGTAGATGAATTGCTCTGTTCCTGCCCATCAGGATTGGGTTGCAGGTTCTTTTGGATTCAGAAGCAATGAGCATATCAGTATGAGTACTTAAGGCTTTATTCCAAGGCAATATGAGAAAATAGCATAATGTTCAGAACTACTAAAGGTAAGAAAGAAAAGAAGAAAGATTGTAGGCCCCTTCTGCTAATAAGGGAACTCCAAAATGATAACAGAGAGCAAACTCCTTCAAACCAATGACTATTCAGTGCCATTCCAATGAAGTCTCCATCTCATGGGGGTTTCTGACAAGTTAATAACAAGTAACTTCATCTGATTTGGTTCAATAAGGATACAGAGGAAAGGTTTCCCTTACCTTGTTCTTGAAGTGCTGTGCCTACTCCTGCCAACAATGAGGCCATTCTAAGGTTAAGGAATATTTATTTATACTAGGCAATTTATAGCAAGGATGAGACAGATCATTTCCCTCTACATGGTGCTTCATACCAAGGACAGAAACAAACAGATAAATGTTTAATTCTATAATACTGTACATATTCAAACATTAAATAAAACTATGACATTCTATGCACCATGTACCAGAGAGAACCACTTTCCAATTCCTCCCTATCAATCTTGTAACAAAACCACCATTACTACACTGGATATTCACACCTTAGAGGCCTCACTGACAATTAGCAAGAGAATTTACTTGACGAATAATGAAAAACAAAACAAAATAATGGGCACAAATCCCCAGCAAACTGGAACAAATATCATTTGAAACAATAATCTTCTAAAAAATAAAAAATGTTTTGGGGCACTGAGCCTGTACTCTTTAAAAATATTACTTTGTCTGCCAAGGGATTCAGGACATGACCTATGAAATCATCCATGGAAGAAAAGGTAGAAAGAGATTTATGTGTTATAGATATTTGAAGCCTCACCAATTTAATTTCATTTTCCACTGAAAATCAAAGTGCTATTATTTCAGTTTGATAGCATTTTGGTGTGACAATCTTGAGAGGCTCTGGTGGTCCAACAAAGAGGGTGAAAAGGCCACATTTAGCCTATTATGCAGCACATAATTTTTACTAAACAAGTTATCTTGGACGTTTATCGGGCTCTCAACCAATAGCTACCATGATATTCCATTATAATTCTTTCTCCAACTAATCTATTCATGCTCACAATTATGGACGCATTTGATTTTTATTCCACCTCTTCTTCATGAACTTAAGGTGTTGTACATATCAGTCCCTTTGTTACTTTTATCCTCACAATAATAACCCCTGTGGCGTAGGGTGGGCTGAAAGATAGTAAATTAGAAATGAGAGTTTTTAATTAAAACAAGTCACTTGCAGCAGACAAAGTAGAACAAAGTGACATTGTGCTTAACTTTAGCATCTGTTTTCATCCTGAATGGAATCAGGTTTCCATTATATTGCAAGCAATTAAAAAGTTCTTTCTTTTACTAGAGATTGCTTCGGTTGGAAATTGCCATCACTCACGAAGCTACGAGTACTACAAATACAGCATTCTCTACCCTAGTGGGTTCCTGGCCTATCCCTGCAAATCATATAAATCTTTTCAAGCGGTAAGCATGCTATTCTGCTGTGGTTCAATCCAATTAGCTTCTTTAAATAGGTTCATTCAAGGTATAAGCATAATACTATATGCTGGAGTTCATTTGTATTAAAGTTCAACATAGCTAAAGAACAAATCCACATTTTTAAGGAAAAAGAAATCCATAACCTCTAAGCTTTTGTTCTTGGAATCAGGCCTCAGCTATGTGACATGCCACAAAGTGATGAATGTGTTCACACAAAACATTTTTATCACCGTCAAATAACCACCAGTTCCAGGTTTGAGTAGGAAATTCCTCTCAATGAATCACTTTTCTCTTGCACACCATTATCTTCTTGTAATGGCTGTTTCTTCTACTCAGTTCCAGAAAGCTGGACTGAGTTAGTGTGCTTGCTACAAATGTAAAAGGATTAGCTGCAGGCCACGGACAATCTAGTGGGTAACAATGGATATCCTATCAAAAGGGGGGTGTTGGCAGGTGTCACCACCACTTTCCCATATCTAGGATCTGGAATAAATCTATCTTACAAAGCCAGGGGTCTCCAACCTTGGCAACTTTAAGACTTGTGGACTTCAACTCCCAGAATTCCTCAGCCAGCTTTGCTGGCTGAGGAATTCTGGGAGTTGAAGTCCACAAGTCTTAAAGTTGTCAAGGTTGGAGACCCCTGTATACAAACCACCTTCCTGTGATCTCATGTTTTAGAAATTAAACCTTCACCTTAACCTTTTCCTGCTAGTGGGTTAATGGGAGGGAAAGGGAGGCATTAGTAATAATGAATAAATAAAAACAACCAGGCAGCCAACAGAGCTGAAATACACATAGTCTTCAACTTACAACAGTTCATTTAGTGACCATCGAAGTTACAACACTGAAAAAAATGACTTATAACCATTTTTCACACTTGCAGTGTCTCCACAGCCACATGATCAAAATTCAGGCGCTTGGCAGTTGATTCATACTTATGACGGTTGCAGTGTCTGGGGTCATGTGATCTCATTTTGTGAACTTCTGACAAGCAAAGTCAATGGGGAAGCCAGATTCACAACTGTACTATTAATTTAACAACTGCAGTGATCCACTTAACCATTGTGGCAAACAACGTTATAAAATGGGGAAAACTCACTTAACAACTGTCTCACTTAGGAGCAGAAATTTTGGGTCTTAGATGAGGACTACCTGTAATCACATATAAGAATTGCAATTTGAGGTGCTAAGCCAGGATAGCAGTGCATACTTGAACTTACAATAAAGATTATAGTGGGAAAGACTTGTCAAGACTTGAAAAAAGCCCAATCTTTAAAAAATAAAGAATCCTTAACCTATTATAACAATTGGAATCCTAGGTACAATTGACTAAATCAAAGATAGACTACTTTGAGAAAAATTGTAGCCAAGGGCTACCTAAGCAGAGTGAATGAAAAGTACCGCTGACGATATACTTGAAGAAGAAAGGATTTTACAGACAGTCACAAAAATATGGTTTTATTTTAACTGTTTTCCCCATTCTATCCCCCCCTTCCCTTACCCTTCCCTCTCCTCCCTCATTTGCCCTTCTCTCTTTCCCTCTTGGCCTCTGCCAAGGCCTGTTTGCTTTCTCTTCTGTATATAATTTGTAGATGTGTTGTTTTTAATGGTAAAATTAATAAAGTTTTTCTTAAAAAAAAAAAAAGCCTTTGGAACCAATCTATTTATTTTATCCTAGGGAAATTGCTTTCCATGTCCCACAAAAGGCTGCCCAGTAATGGGTCACTATGCTGATCAATCCCATGATAAACTGAAGAAAAGCAATCAAAACTACTATCTAAACACAGGGTTTAAGGAGCCCTTCACCAGTGAGTACATAAAGTATATGTGATATATTCCATGTAACCAGCAAATCTGCAAAGAAACCTACTAATTTAGGATTGATGCAGTACTAGGGTCATGTTTCTGAAATTTAAAGCTGTATAAGGAGCTATAACTTTCCATTTGTTACATGTAGTACGAAATGCATGTTCATGCTGACAAGATTGGAAGAAATTGACATGTTTTCTTACCTGGATGCCTTCATGGACATCTCACTTCTGTGTTTGAGGTTGTAAGGAATATATGACTAAGTTTACACCCAATTTCTTCTGACCAATCTGGAAATTTTAACTACAGTAAATGATTAACTATCACACTAGAGCAATTACTTATTCTATCTGGTCATATATGCAAACATAGCATACATATATTGTAGGAGGCAGTTCTAGTCTCTAAATTTGGAAAGACAGACTGTCAAGATTTATCATCCAAGGAAAAAATAATCCTATTAGAATTTCAAGACTAAGCAATTAATCTTTTTATATACAGGATGAGTAATAAACATGTTTAAGGAGAGTCCCAAAAGTGCTTTTTCAAAAGGCAAGTGGACTTTGTTTTTTCTTTGAAGATGTTTTGCTTCTTATCCAAGAAGCTTCTTCAGTTCTGACTGAACTGAAGTCAGAAAAAACAAAGTCCAGTTGCCTTTTGAAAAGCACTTGTGGGATAACCATGACATGGATGACTGAGAATCCCCATAGACATACAGATTTAACAGATAATCAGAATTGGAAGGGACCTTGTAGGTCATCTAGTCCAACCCCCCCCCGCCCAAGCGGGAGACCCTACACCATTTCTGACAAATGGCAGTCCAATCTCTTCTTGAAAGTCTCAACTGATGGCGCTCCCACAACTTCCAAGGGCAAGCTGTTCCATTGGTTGATTGTTCTCACTGTCAGAAAGTTTCTCCTTGTTTCTAGGTTAAATCTCCCCTTGTTCAGTTTCCATTCATTATTCCTTGTCTGGCCTACAGGCACTTTAGAAAATAGCTTGACCCCTTCCTCTCTGTGGCAGCCCCTCAAATATTGGAAGACTGCTATCATGTCTCCCCTGGTCCTTCTCTTCACTAGACTAGCCAAGCCCAGTTCCTGCAACCATTCATTGTATGTTTTAGCCTCCAGTCCCCTAATCATCCTGGTTGCTCTTCTCTGTACTTTTTTCTAGAGTCTCAACATCTTTTTTATAATGTGGTGACCAAAACTGGATGCAGTACTTTAGGTGTGGTCTTACTAAGGCTTTATAGAGTTGTATTAGTACTTTCCTTGATCTTGATTGTATCCCTCTGTTACTACAATTTAGGATTGCATTAGCTTTTTTGGCTGCTGCTGCACACCGCTGGCTCATATTTAGCTGGTTGTCCACTAAGTCTCCAAGATCCCTCTCACAGTTACTGCTATTGAGCCTGGTTTCACCCAGTCTATATGTGTACTTTTGGTTTTTCTTGCCTAAGTGTAGGACTTTACTTTTCTCTACATTGAATTTCATTTTGTTAGATATGGCCCAGTGTTCTAGTCTGTCAAGATCCATCTGGATCTTGAGCCTATCTTCTTGGGTGTTAGCTATTCCTGCCAGCTTAGTATCATCTGCAAATTTGGTAAGTTCCCCTTCTATTCCCTCATATAAGTCATTAATGAAGATATTGAAGAGTACTGGGCCTAAGAGGGAACCTTGTGGCACCCCACTGCTTACTTCCCTCCATGAAGACCCATTAAGGACTACTAGTTGAGTATGGTTTGCCAGCCAGTTGCAAGTCCATCTAGTGGTGGTGCTATCTATTCCACTTTTTTCTAGCTTATTAAGAAGTAGGTTGTGGTCTACTTTGTCGAATATTATGTCCACAGTATTTCGCTGGTCTACTAATTTAGTCACTATGTGAAGAATGAAATAAGATTGGTTTGGCATTATCTGTTTTTAACAAACCTGTGCTGACTGCTAGTTATTACTTTACTTGTTTCTAGATGTTGGCAGATCTGTTTTTTTTATAATCTTTTCCAGTATCTTCCCAGGTATTGATGTTAGGCAGATTGGTCTATAGTTTCCTCGGTCTGTTTTTTTCCCCTTTTTTGAAGATGGGAACCACATCAGCTCTTTTCCAGTCCTCTGGTAGTTCCCCGGTGCTCCAGGATTTTTGAAAGATATGGTGCAGTGGTTCTGAGATGACCTCTGCCAGCTCCTTTAAAACTCTGGGATGTAATCCATCAGGCCCCGGTGATTTGTTTTCATCAAGATCAGACAGGTGTTCTCTTAGTATTTTTTTGCTTGTTTTAACTTTTATTTCTGGTCTGTCTTTTACAGTTATGTTTTTGGTGGGTTGAGCTATAGTTTCTTTTTGCGTGAAGACGGATGCAAAGAATGAGTTAAGCAGTTCTGCTTTCTCTCTGTTGCCTGTTACTTCCTTGCCATCTTCTCTCTTTAGTGGACTGACTGTTTCCTTGATTTTTTTCTTGTTATTTATATGTTGGAAGAAACTTTTTTTATTATCTTTGACTTTTGTTGCAAGTCTTTGTTCATTCTGAGCCTTTGCTGTCCTGACTTTGTCTTTGCAGATTCTAGCTATCTGCTGATATTCTGCCTTAGTTGTATGTCCTTCTTTCCATTTTTTGTACTTGTCCTTTTTTTCTTTCAATTTGCCAGAGAGATCTTTGTGCAGCCATGCTGGTTTCTTCTTGGATTTCTTGTTTTTCTTTCTCAGTGGTATTGGGCTTCTATGATCATACTTTTTAGAGTTTCCCAAGATTCTTGAGTTGTTTTCCCCTTTAGGATTTTCATCCATGGAATCTTTCCCAAGTTCTCTCTGAGTTTATTGAAATCAGCTCTTTTAAAATCCAAGACTCTGGTGTCATTATGTTCTGTTGCTTTGTTTGTGTTATGTTGAATTCTCGTATGACATGGTCACTCTCACCCAAGGTTCCTGCAGTTTCAACTCCCTCTATCACTTCTTCTCTGTTTGTAAGAATTAAGTTCAGTATGGCTGTCTCTCTAGTTTCACCCTCTACCTTTTGGACAACAAAGTTGTCAGCTAGGTTGGTTAGGAACTTATTTGATTTCTCACTTGGTGCAGACACACACACTCACACACACACCAAAATAGTATATTTTTCTGTATGAGATCCGTAATGGCTTGTCTATAAGAGATTCTTACCTTCTTCAGAAAAAGAAATTCCTTCCTCATTGGAATATTCTGCTTGGTGTCCTTTATTGAAATCTCCTCTGATGCCACACTGCATTCTTTTCAGTACTTCACTATTTCCCAAGGCAATTGAAATTTGAATTCTGAAGAGAGAACTATCTGGCTTTACAACATTTTTATGGTGCTAAATATCTCATTTTTATTTCAATTGTGCAGAAATCCACTTCTGAATGAAGGTGTAATGTTTAGTTTTTTTAAAAAATGTTTATTTTAATAATACATAATTAAAATCTTGTTTTCACATTCCAGCCCATTTCAAAGTGTTATAATTGAGGATGAGGAAAGATTTTAAATTGAGTTTGTGGCTAAGATTACCATCAGTTAAGACAAAATAGGTAATATCTTTTCTTAAAACTATATTTCCTCTAGGATAATCTGCCAGATGGGATGTACTGATAATGAGCTGGAGAAATTAAAGCCCTGGAAATATTATTTATTAAAATATCTTAAGATTTTTTAAAATTATAAGCTTTTTAAATAATTATTTTTTCCTAGTTCTTATTTTCATTTCATTAACAAAAAAAATGAATATCCTTGCCTAATTGTATTTCATGCCTAGCCATTTTGCATTTATTTAACTGCTGCATTTACAACATATATGTCATATTACCTAGGTTGGCGATATAATATATCTGTCAAACTAAATGGAATGAAAAATGTGAAAGGAGAAATATATATAGTTTTTCACAATAAAAATGGAGATATGAAAGAATATCCGATTATGAGGTATACTTCATGCTTTCTTGTTGTGCAGATTTTTAGTTTTGCTAATTTTAGGAATAATCATATCAATAATTCAGTTAAGAATTTTTCATATTTGTCACATATAGAATACTTCCAAAGACTTCTATACATCCTAACTCTTAATTCAAGGATTAGGTCTCTTCTATGAAATAACATATTAAAAAGGTAATAACATACATTATATATGATGTACAAAAAAAATAAAAGAGGTGTGAAGTGAAGAAGTTAGGAATGCTGTCCTTTTTCAAAAATAAATGTAGTTTGTAAATTTGGCTTTAGAGCTGATGAAATGAGCTACAGAATCAGCTTTTAGGATGGGGACAATGGAAATGGAAAAGCTTTCATAGTGAACTATGACGTCTTATAAGTTACAAAACAAATTGTATAGCTTTAGCAGATTGTTTTATAAAGTTTGTTGTGTATTGTCAGGGAATTGTGGAGCAACATGAAATCAGAGACACTGACACCAACTTGTAGTTTTATATAAATAAATTTATATTTACAGCAGATAAGATAGTCAGGAACACAAGAACATCATGAGGTAAATCAAATGGCATACAGAGCACACACGGAAAAAAAAGGCGGAGGGGAAAATGAAATTCTCCCTTTATACCCACAGCAACCAATCATAGTGTAGATTGCCTCATGCATGAGCCAGCACTCTCCAATCAATCAATTACAATCGTGTGTTCTGGCACATTGTACACTTTATGGTTCCAGATACTAAATTAAATATCCTAACCCTCATCCAATCTGAATTATCTGATTGATATAAATTGTGAATGAGCAATATTAATACCACAGCATAATTAATTGTGATTACAATTAATTATAATTAATTAATTGTAAAAAAAAACAACCTGTCCAGATGCTCTGTAATTTCTTCAATCACATTTTTACAGGGGCAGCCTTAAGCAAGAACAAATCTATTCAAAGCTCACAGATGTAGAAATTAATCCAGAAAATGCGTCAAGAATTGAGTTTGTTTGGCACAAGCAATTATTTACTTTCTTTTGGGCTCAACTAGGAGCAGAAAAAGTAAATCTTACCCGTGGGCAAGATGGGCGTAAGTAAGTATAGCCATTCTGATACTTAATTTTCATGATTAAATTCATTTGATAATCCAGGAAGAAATCATTTCTATCTGAGCAAGTCTGGGACCTGAGCAAGGATGGATTTAAACATACTGAAATCCACTGATTGTGGTGGAGGGAGCTATTGATCTGCTGTTTTGAAACGCAAGAGTGAATACAAAAGCATGAACTACATGCCCTCTTGCGATATATGCAGTGAAACTTCTTTTTACTTTGTTTATTTGTTAGCTGGTTATGTTCAAGGTGGGTTATTGTAATGATAAAAATATTGATCGATCGATAAATAATCAATAAAATTGAGAAGCAACATCTCTGAAACAATGCAAAATAAGAACAACCTATACGTTGTAGAGATTTTCAGTCCAGAATATATTTCCAATAATTTCTCCTTTGTCACCTCCCAAAACATTTCTAGAGTTATGAATGGGGAAGAAGGCTCAGAAAGTTTAGCAAGAAGGGTTCAGAGAACCAAGTTTTCTTCTGATAAAGTAGCCTAGACTTTCTGTCATAAGAACCCCCTGAACATTTTGTAATGTGCATTGTCGCATTATAAATCTTTCTTCCTTTAGTCCTGTCAAAAATCTTTTCACCTTTGTATACAGACAAAACATGGATTAAGGGATGGAAAAGAGATGTTAACATAGCAAATGTAGATTTATATAAGGATTTTTTTTTCTTCCCCTTCTTCCAGGACTTCCTTTTGTGGCCATGGAACAGTAAAATATGAAGTTCCTCAAATGCTTACATCTTGTTGAACACAATAAGAATCATAGTCATAAATTGTAACAGTAACGAGGAACAGCTTCTTCATGTGGCCTTGATGGTTTAAAGTATGACTTATTAGAATAAATCTTCTGTCATTTTTTCATCATCTCAGCTCAGAACACAAATCATCATAATTGTTTTAGGTATAATAAAACAATAGATATAAATATATTATAAATATTTAGGTATCAATTTCTGTCTCAAAAGAAATAAAATAGGCATAAAGTGTGTGTGTGTGTGTGTGTGTGTGTGTGTGTGTGTGTAGAAGGGGGTGGAAACAAACTATGAACAGAAAAAAATAATAATGAATGCTGCTTAGGGTATGGAGTATCTTTACTTGACAAGATACTTCTCTGTAACTTTGCTTTTTGATTTTATCCATAGATTCCAAGACTTTATGTGCTCTGATGAGTTTATGTTTATAAGTGTAATGTGAACCGTGGGAATTTGCATCTTTCTGTTCCTTCTCAGAGGTTTTGTTTAGACTCAGGTTGTTGGGGGCAATATGCTAATTCTGTAACCTGCTTAAAGAGGGCTGTAAAGCACTGTGAAGTGGTAGATAAGTCTAAGTGCTATTGCTATTGTTATTTCCCTGCTTCATAGTACAAAGAATGTATTTATCAGTTTTCTTCATTTAGGTATACATAGCAAATAAAACATTAAAAATTGGATTCATGGTTCCTTCTACCTATCCCCAGGCTTATTCCCATGCTTTCTTTTTTTAACAGTTTATTTATATATTTTCACATGATATACATAGGTGCTTAGTGAACAGAGTACTCTGGGTCATTTTATTTATATGTAATAATACTTTTCCCATTCCTAATTTCTATCTCTACTATCCAACCATTTGTAAGAAAAAGTCCCATGTTTGAAAATGCTCTGTCTTCTTTTTCTTTTATTTTTAGTGTCAATCTGTCAATTTTTGCACAATCTAATTTTTTTTTAATTACGTCTCCTTTGTAGGTGTTTCCTCATTTTTCCAGTACTGTGCAAATACAATTCTTGCTGCTGTCAAAACATGTAATATTAAGTATAAATTCCCTTTATCATACTTTTCTGGTATTATACCTAACAAAAATATTTCTGGTTTATAATCTGCAGTATGTATTGCTTTAACATTTTTTCGAACCATGTATGTATATCCAATATGTCTTTGCTTTTACGCATGTCCACCAGATGTGATAATACATATCCAATGTCTAGTTACATTTCCAACATCTGGAGGACATGTTTTTAAAGTGGCCAGTGGTAAATGCCACCTATAAAACATTTTATATAAATTTTTCTTATACATAATTGCCACTGTCAACTTACAAAAACTTAACGTTTTTGACATTTGTCTAGTTCTATAGTGTATCCAAAAAAATTTGCCCAAACTATAATTGTCTCTTTTACCTGTTCATCTTCCATTTTCAAGCTTAGCAGAAAATTATACATTTTCTTTATCAACTTTTTGTCTCCCCCTGCTTTCTTTTAAATCTTTCCCATAGCAGACCTTCCTGACATTAAAAAAATTGAGTCTTTAAGGAAGTTTTCCAACATCAGAATCCCTTCACTAATACTTGATCTTCTATGTGATCTTAAAGGGCAAATTCAGTGAATCCTGTGGAGAGCTTTCTAAAGCCACAGGATTCTCATCTTAATACTTATTGTGACTTTTAAATGTCAAGATACTTTGCTTTAGATGCCATGGACTTAAACCTTGTTTTCTTATTCATTTGCACCTTCAAACTAAAAAAACCTACGACTATTGCAATCTTTTGTCTGGGCCTCATATTAAGCTCTAGTTAGACTTCTGGGTCACTGCATTCAGGGAAAATATGTGCCTGACATTTGGATACAGTTGCGTAGCTATTGTAATGGTTAGGCGGCTCTGAAATAATAATGTGTCTTGCCTTCCACCTATCTCCCAACAAGAAGTTGGATCAACAAATCAGCATGCAGGAAGGGCAGCTCCACACATGGAAGATTTGGAAGTGTTGACCCATCTGCAATCATCTGCAACCTACGCTTACCCATCAACCCCTTTGCAGCCTAGGTATGCGTTGACGCCTCTGTGCAGTTGCAGACAAGTCTAAATCAAGCTTTAGAAGCTATGAGTGGTTGATAGCAAATGCAACAACTTACAAGAAATTATTTGCTTTCACACTTTGTTATTCTTATTTGATATGTACTACCTTGTTGGATTTTAATAGAAAGTCCTGACAGAAAATAATTTCTCTCTATACCAGAACTAGAGAAAAGAGTAGGTATGTAGCATGAATATTGTTGTCACTGTAGAGAATAAAACTAGTATAGTATTATTTCAAAATCTATGTGAATTACAACAGTCCTGAAATTCCAGACTGTCCATGCTCCTATACCTGCCTCCCTACTGCAACTCACAAGGAAGCATTGAATATGTCAGTGTTTTTCAGGGTGGAACCACACATTCAGATTGGCCAATCATCAATGTGGGCCACTCACTGAACAGAAAAAGATGATGTCATCCATCTTAAATGTACTGATCACAAATGAGGAACAAACACAGGGATAGTGGGACAGTAGGTACGGTAGTATGTAAAGAACTTCCTTTACTTAGCTCTCAGCATTTGCCCTATGGTCAAAAGACTCCTAATGTTCAAAGAGACAATGAGTCACCAACATTTTTTCGCAATGATAATCTAAACCACTCGTGTCCAACCTGCAGCCTACAGTCCATGTGTGGCCCTGGAGAATTAGAATGCAGCCCCACAAGATTGTCGAAAATATTTTAAAATAAAAGAAGTTGTTATTTATACACATTAACAATAGTATATATTTTATATATATTATACTGCATATAGCCCAGGACAATTCCTCTTCACTCAATGTGTGTTGGGCACAAAGTTGGACAACCATTATCTAAAAGCTGGAAAACATAACATACATAGAATGATAATAATTTCAGGTCCTGCAAATATCAAACTTGCCAGGCATTTTCAAGGTTGCCACATACTATTTGTACTCATTGCACTGCAACAGTTATGCATTGAATTACTTCAGCTTTCTAAATGGCCCGTGATATCATTTTTTCAAGAAAAAAGTGTCACTTTATTTTGTTTTAAATTTACCTGTAATGGCCAAGCATTTGAAAATATGCAGTTGGAACAGATTGGAAAAAGCTCACATGATCAGAGGTGGTGATAAAATGATATCTTAAATTATATAATAGATGAAGCACTCTTATTTTGTGAATGTTGCCATAGGATAAAAGCTTCTTGAACAAATTAATAGGTGTACGGATAGATTCTGGACTGATTAGGTTCGGTTGAATGATAGAATCACAGAATCATAGGGTTTTGAAGGTCTAGGTCAACTCTCTGCCCAGAATAAATGATAGTCCTTTAAAACAAAAAAACATCTTCTGATGATGGACCACAGTCAGGCTCACATTCAAGTTAACATTTTACTATGAATCAGTACTTCAGGAGGCAGGCTGTGTTCCATTGCTTAGTGGCTGTCATAGAGCATGACATTTCATTGTAAAGCTAAAGTTTGGATCTCTCACTGTAAAGCTTCCACCTATTGGTTCTTATCCTACCCTCCAGTGCTATGTACAATAAATCCACATCCTTTTCTCTGTAACTTCCCTTCATTTAATGGAAGAGCAACAAAGATGATTAGGGGACTGGATGCTAAAACATATGAAGAATGGTTACAGGAACTGGGCATGGCTAATCTAGTGAAGAGAAGGACCAGGGGAGACATGATAGCAATGTTCCAATATTTGAGGGGCTGTCACAGAGAGGAAGGGGTCAAGCTATTTTCCAAAGCACCTGAAGGAATAATGGATGAAAACTGATCAAGGAAAGATTCAACCTACAATTAAAGAGAAATTTTCTGACAGTGAGAATAATGAACCAATGGAACAGCTTACCTTCGGATGTTGTGGGAGCTTCATCTCTGGAAGCTTTCAAGAAGAAACTGGAAAGAAATGGTGTCAGAAATGATGTAGAGTCTCCTGCTTGGATGGGCAGTTGGACTAGATGACCTACAAGGTCCTGTCCAACTGTTATTCTGTAAGGAAGACAGCTATCATGTCTTTCCTTAGACTTCTTTTCTTTAGGTTTAACATACCATAAATGGTCTTTGTGGGATATAATCTCCAAACCCCATGACTATCTTTACCATCCTCACTGACCTTATTGTATTTTGGCAACCAGAACTGGGCACAGTGTTTCAAGTGTAATCTGAACAGTGCAGCATAGAATTATACTCTCACTTCCTGTTATGTTCCTGTTATGACTCTAGACTTCTATTAATGCAGCCCCAAATTGCACAGACTCTTTTGGGAGCTATATCACATGGCTGACTCATGCTAAATTTGTGACCTCTCAAGACACCAGTTCTTCTCATAAGTACTATGTTCTTGTACCTGGCTCTCTGGTTTTTCCTGCCTAAGAACAGAACCTAACATTTCTCATCACTGAACATTTAGTTGAATAATCATGTTCATATCTGTTAAGATCCTTTGGAATCTTGAAAGTATATTTCAGAGTGTTAGTAATTGCCCCAGCTTTGTGTCATCCACAATTTTATGAGACTCTTTATTCCCTCATTTAGATCAAGAGAGGATGTTGAATTAAGGTATTAAAGAGTCCTGGACGCAAGACCAAAATCTGAGGCATCCCACTGTACACTTCTGTCCATATGGACATACCGTGTTTCTCATATAATAAGGCCGGGTCTTATTTTTTTTGAGCCCCGAAAAAATGGCTAGGCTGTCTTTTCGGGGGTGAATTAATTCTCCCCCTTGCATCTTCGGACAGGCGGTGACGGCTTGGATGTTGACCTCGGCGTTGGTGGGGCACTTCGTATCAGGGTCAACATAGGCAGCACCATATCCGGGTGTGCAACAAAAGTACTTCCTAACGGCAAGCCCCCCACCAATCCCCCCATTTCGCATGTTTTAATATAGGCCTTAATTTGGGGAGAGGGGCTTAATTTCAATTCATGCCTATAAAAC